CGTCGCTGTTATATCCTCAACAGCTCCTTGAAAGTACACATAGATAGTTTTCTCAGATTATTTTGAACATCGGTCGGTCGGTAGCCGGGCGGTCCGATGTTGGTGCTTTGTTCACTCAGTCAATCGGCCGATGTGTGAATTGATGGTTCAAGCCCCAGGCTGAACGTATGATTTTCACTTGCTATCGTCCAATCCGTGTTAGGAATCACACCTAACACACATCTTCAGTCCTTAGCTTGCACAAGTTTCGACTTCTGAGGGTTGTCGTTCGTAGGGGTATGATAGCTAGTTAACGGAAAAAAGTATTTCAAACATTTGATTTGAAAGGGTTATATTTTTAGGAGTGATTAATTTTTTGGGAAAGAAAGTTTTTGGCTTTCTACTACTCCATCTTTGGAAGATTCTCTCATCCATTTTTTTTGTATCAGATGGAGTAGTAGAAAGCCAAAAACTTTCTTTCCCAAAAAAATATTTCAAACATATTTTTGAACATCTATGATCTATTGCAAAAAAAAACAAAAATTGAATATATTGTTTTGGTGACGATAGCAAACTTTTTTCGATTGCCTAAGATTAAATTTATTTTTGTAGCTGCTTTCCACTTTTATGAGCACTCATTCTGACATTAGAAAATGATGTAAACTGTTTCCGTATATAAGAAATAACAAAGAAATAACATCGGTCCTGAAACTGTTCCTTGCAGTACTCAGCATTGTAAACATATGCATCTACCTCATTCCGACGTTCAAGAATTATTCCATAAAACAAGTTAAATGTTATGAAGGTTTAAATTTTAATAAAAGTTGAAATACGTCAAATAATTGAAAATAAACTATGTTCTATTTCATATTTTCCATTTGAACTTGTTAGTTGGGCATTATGATACATTGAAAATATACAAAAAAATACTAGGGCTATTTCCAATCTGTGGTTGAAACATTGCATAAATATATTCAGGTTCAAGAAATGTTTAATTCATGTAATGGAAAAGATAATTTTGTGGTATAATAGTGATAAATACCACAAATCGTTATCTAAACAAGTCTGATTTTGAAACCGAATCATTGAACTGATATTAATTAGTATGTCTGACATTCGATGTTAGTTTACAAAACATTTGATAACTTCTAATAAAGGATATCCTATCTCTTATGACAGTATTCTGATACCATTTTAAGTATGATTTGTTCGTTTGTTCGATGAAAATTTAGACCTCAGAAAGAATACTTTCGTATTATAACATACTCTTTTTGGTCTTCTAAATATCTAATACTATACCGGTGACAACAAAATCTTTAAGACGGCGTCGTTCGATTGTTTCTGGAATGAGAAATTTGAAAGTCGGAACGAAGATGTAGTTCATTGAAGTCGATATTTATAATGACTAAACAATTGAGACGAGAAATGAACCCAACTATATATTTTTTCGACAATTTGAAAGAATATAAAATTTTATCGTTTCAAGGATGTAACATACTTGACCATTTAATTTCAAAATGGCGCCGAAGGAGCCATGTTCTCCAAATTCAATATGGCGTCAATTTGATGTCATCTAGGAAAATATTGCTTAACAATCCGATGTCGTGAGGAATAAAAGACGATATTTGTTTGGTTTTTGAATGAAAATTTTAGAATAAAAAATGTTTAACCAATTCACATACTTTTCATTGATTTTTGCAAAATGCAATTCTTTACTTTATCTTGAAACTCTCAATAGGAAATGGTAGTTTTTGTACAACACTGAAGTTTACCTCTTGTACTACAAAAAAATGTGAAAGACACAATGCTGTTCATTTCACTGTGCCAGTGAAAAATTGAAAGTTTGTCGAAAATTAAAAAAATGCTTTTTGTTACTGACACAGACAAATGAATCGCATAGTATTTTTGACATTTTTTATAATAAATGTTGATCTGTTGATCTAAATTCATTAATTTTAAAGCGAGAGGTTATATACCCCAAAAACATAGAAACCTTATAAAAAATTGGAAATCCCCTCCGACATATTACTTCACCAAATTTGAAACGTGTACCAGTAGCCTACAATGCAAAAATTCAACTACAGTGTTCTCAATAAAACCATGAAAAATATCCTATATGAACCTGATTCTCAGTTTAGTCTCGAATTAATTTGTATATTTGGATTCCACGATGAATTATAAGGTCAGAGGGACTGAATGTCACCACTTTTGTTAAATATTTATTGTAAAAAACTTTATTGAAAGAATAATTAAGATACACTGCCGTTATTTTTGATCATGATTTATATGGAACACGTCATATCTGAAAAGAATCGTTACCAAGCTATATGGACAATCTAAGTTTAAATTTACTTAGCTCGAAACACTGAAATGATTCAAAATAGACAAAATCAATTTGATTACACTCACAATGCTGTGGAATAATAAACACTAAGAAAATAATGAACTGGAACAAGGTCGCCTTTGTTTTCACTAATGTGAGTAATATATTGATGGGTTTTGTTAAACATACATAATGTGTTGAAACCTACTGGACCCTAATTTCTAAATTCTATTTTTTCTGATCTATTCTGATCAGAAAATAGCTGGTACTTGGTATATAGAGATGTATGTATTATTAGAGACGGTAGAAAATGAGTAAATTCCTTAAAAATAATAAAATAATAAATCCAGCAAAAAACTGTTTATACTGCGAATGAGAGGTTTACTTAAAAATTGCTTCAAGTCGTATGTTAGTGATGAAAAATGAAAAAATGATAGAGTGAACGAATAATTTTCAGATTTCAGATTCAATGTCAGTCTGGGGACATCACAAGGAGCGGTTCTGGGACCGTTATATTCATTATACATCAATGATCTGTGGTCGATCATAGAGGACGGGTGGGTTTTTATGTATACTGACGATACGATTATTGTGGGATGGAAAATAAAACCAGAAATATTATTGCTGCTATTGGGAAATGGTGCGAATGTAACCGTTGATGCACATCTTCCCAAATTACGCTTTCCTCCGTGGGTTTACCAATAAGTGACTACACTGTATATTAACCAAACTTAGTTTTGTTTAACTATTAGTGCAACAAAACACTTTAACTAAACCTTCAACTATTTTTCAAATGTCTTATTAGATCGTTCTGCATCGCACTGTCACATCAACTTGACTATTTCGATAGGTTCGAACCCGTTAGCATTATTCTCGCCACGTCTAGAAGGGCCGCGAACATCGAACAACCGCGAAACGTCGGCCGGATTGGCGTAATCTTGGCCACGTAACAATTGGTTTATGGCTACCAGTGGCAGCCGGCGTTATTTTCTTTAGGGCATGATTCACAACACTATTTTGGGGGCAACGTTGGATTTGTGTTTTTTGACCGTGAAATGTGTAGCTGGGCAAGCTATCTTACTGTCTCTCCTCAGGTTTTCTGTAGTCCTCGGGGTTTGGTTTCAGATTGTTCATCAAGTTAATGTTTATATATGTATGTATTACATATGGTAACCGATTGGGTTAGAGTAAGTGGTTCGTTCTACTCAGTAAATCGGCCGCTATGTGAACGGTGGTTCGAGATAGACAGCGGACGAAATAATTTCACTGTGTATTGTCCAATCCATGCTGAGAATCACACATTAATATGAAATACCTCGTTAATCCTCAGCTCGCATCTGTTCGGATTTCTCAGGGTTGTCGTTCGTGAGGGAGCGACAACTGATCAACGGAAAACATATTTAAAGAAAAGAACAGATATATACGAGTATTTATGAATATAAATTGTTGAATATTCATCACTGTATATTTAAATGAATTGGTTTTAATTCATTTATTTACACTACGGATCGTTCTTTACCTTTTAATAATTTGAATATTTATTAATTCAAATTATTAAAATTATTTCCTACCTTTTCCAATAATTATATCTCAATGTATTTGGGATCTCTGAGAGTCTAATATAAGTATACTTTCCCGGGATCTCTCCCAATTTCAAAATGTTTCCTCTCTAGACCAGTTTTCTTGTACTGTTCTTATTACGAGTCAGAGGGATCCCTCGTAGAGTCCTCTTTCTGTTTATACTTTTGTGATCCAATCAGTTCCCAGCATAGGCGAAGGCATGATCACGATCCATGAGGTCTCTTGCATGGATGTAAGACTAAGAGCTCTGGAAGGTCGTGTGGTTTCCAGAAGTGTCGTCGGCGGTACCTAATAAAGGTTTTATTTTTCGTCACTATATAAAGGGCTCTTTTTAGTATGGAATAGATATCCCCAGTGCTGCAGAAGAGTCTGAGGTTGGAGATGGAAATATTACATTATTTCAATGGCTAAAGGTGCTCATTTTGGATTTATTCTTCGCCAGAGGTTCTAGTTCTGCTTTTCGCAACTTGGGGTGCCGTTTAATTCCCAAAACCAGACGAGTTCTTGATCAGTTAGCGTTAGATTTTCTTTAAAGATGAACAATCGAGGCATTTCGGACTCCGTTGGAAAAAGTAGTTGTTTAGAAATAAAAATGTTGAAAACAAGCCGAACAACCTAGGAAACATGGATATGAATTAATATTTTCATTTCAAGTATATCCAAATTTCGCTCTAAGTCATGTTATATCATGTTTACAAGTTTATATATTGTTCTGCGCGAATTTATGTTAAATGGCTAGCCGTTTTAGCCGAATGTGTCATTTTAACTCGAATGTGTGCCATTCGGGGCCCCCGTGTCGGTGGGACATTGGGCACGAGCCCCTTGGGCCCCTATGGTGAAGACGGAACTTCAAGAATTTTTTTTTATTTGTTTTAACTTCTTATATTAACTCTAACAATGTTATTTCATTCTTAACATATTTCAACTTTATATTTTTAACTTTCCGCACAGAAACGTTCTTGGAAAGTTTCGAGCCAAGAAATATAATCTGAACTTCATGATCACTCTGTATAACAGCTGTAAGTTGTTTAGCCGCCAACCGTGAAGTAAATTACTTTGTATGGACTTAAAGGAGGCGACCCATATTACCATACCATAAAAACTAGAGGTTACATACCAAAGTCTTGTCCTCAACTTTTTGAATAATCTCTTGCAAAGATGCTTTCCTCTCCAATTTGGCACATTCATCACTGGAATCCGATTGATAACTGCTAACACTCGAAACTGACACTACCGATGCCTTTCTGATTCTCTTCGCGGTCAAATCGTTCGAGTTATTATTGATTTCACCGACTGTTTTGCACAGTTCCATAACTGAAATCTGTTAATACGTGTATTTGACAAATTACAAGCGAGTGTGAATATGCTGATGAGAAGGCTAATGTGATATCTGAGTTGCGGTTTCGCTTTGCTTTCAAATCGTTCCTTTCTCCCCACCCTGAGCGCCGATGTTTGTTATTGTTAGCAATACGCGAACTTGCTCGTTCGAAGAAATATTTAAACAATATCTATAGCTCCTTGTTGCTGACTTGTACAGAAAGGGAAACATGTGTCTTTGAATGAGGGGGCAACGATAAGATGTAGGTACTTAATGACGTTAAGATAACCGCTGTTCTTCTTGTAGATGTATTTTCGGAACTTGGGCAGCATGTGTGCAGCGAATGCGCTCCATACGGAGCACTTGCATTCAAGGTAATACAGGGTGATTGCTGACGACGAGGACAAGTTGGATGTATTCGAGAAAGTGTTCCATATGTAATTTGGAGAATTGGAACTTCCCGAAATTGGATGACTAATTGAATATTTCAGGAATAAATTATTCTCTTACAACGGAACAATTACATTCCGATAATAGCCTTAGTCTGGGTCTGGAGACGGGTTTGGCAAGTTACCTGACCAACGATTTGATATATAGTAGTAACACAGAAGTTGAACAGAACGTTATGTTATATAGGTAATACTGAAACCGCAAATGGGTTAGTGTACTCAACTATCCTTAAACCCGGGGCCGCACTGCAGGATGCTAGATGGTCGGTTGGAGGGTGGATGGTGGAGGCACAATGCATCCTGGATGCAGTGAAATGAAGCCAGTATATCCAACTGACAGCTGAAAAGTAACAATCATGCCTCTCTCTGAAGTTGCGAAAAAAATTTTACTAAGTTCATATTCGAGAATTATAGTGGCAAATAGTGTTTTGAAAAACCGTGGGTGTATACTTACAATTTGAGACAGCAACAGTATGGAGAATTCGTGAGACTACAAAAAATTACGACAACATCCTGACAAATTTTATTTGTATTTAAGGATGTCAGTTGAGGCATTCGACCTACTTTTGAAATTGACTGAATGCAATTTGCAAAGAATTTCAACGAACTTCAGAGAAGCTATATAAGCAGAAGAATGTCTTGTGCTCACTGTGAGGTAAGTTTGATAATAAACCCAGTTAAATGTTGATCGTTTATTAATTACAAAAACATTGACACATAATCATTACAAATAAACAAAATCATTGAAACTAAACTAAAGGAGAAGCCTGAGTGGGTAAGATTGACGACATCTCCCCTTATGAAGACACCATCGAAGTCATAAAGGAGGCTTCCCAAGTCATACCTCCTGAAGAGAAAGCAAAGTGTTTTATGAATAATTCAAATTCATTTAGCTTTCATATCAAGGAGTACCACTGGGATTCGTATTGGGACCAGTTCTGTTCCTCATATATGAACGGCAGTGTTAATTGCAGTCTCGACAGGAATTTTATTTTATTTGTTGATCATACCAATTTTATACGTACCTACATAGTGATAAATCCATAGTTACTGAATACATTCAAGACGCACAGTCAAAACTCCAACTATGTATGAATACCGATAAAACCGATACAAAATGTATTTCATTTCATTAATTAAAATTAACCCACCTTTTAGAAACTCAAATACGGCTCTGAAGTTGATTGGCAGTATCATACCGACTTCTTAGGCGAAAAATGTCGTCAAAGACTGGTCTGCTGATTGTCAAAGTTTGGATATGCCTTATTGACATGGAGCCATACGACATATGCGGCAATAAAGTAGGAATAATGGATGCAGTCTTGGACTCAGAGCTGAGTGCAAAAAAACTTTTGTGAACATCTATACAGGGTGTGACAGAAGTACGTTAAAATATTCAAGTGACATATTCCTGAGACAATTTTAAGAAAGAGAGTCTATATAAACTTGTGTTCGGAAATGCTTTGTTTTGGAGGTACAATGTGTTGAAATTGAATTATTTGTTCGTTTTTTAAAAATAACTTTTGCAAGAAATAAGTTATCTACACGAAATTTGGTACCCGAGGCTTTTTTGACGTGGGAAATCATAATTTCGTATTAATTTTCATGTAATATCTAGAGGGCACTACGTACGCTGTCATGACAGTAAACTTCTGGTACTTTTCATAAAAAACCTGATTTCACATTTTTTCCAAGTAAAAAAGGTACACTTTCTCAAGAACACTGGAGATGATCCTTTTCGAGATATTTACAATGCGTATTACTTAGCTCCTAGGGCGCTAAGTGAAGAAGCTGAGAACATTACAAAAACTAAGTATGTGGTGGATCTCGTCAAAATAAATAACTTTTTTCTATAAAATGTTTTATCAAAAAATTATTAATTTTCAAGATATAAATTGTTTTTGTAAAATTCCCAGCGAAATAGGAGCTAACTAATATATGCATCGATATAGAAAATTGTAAATATCTCGAAAATGATCACCTTCAGCGATGTTGAGGAAGTGTACCTTTTTTACTTTTTTTTTTCATGAAATACAAATCAATTCAAAGAACTAAGATTATAGAAAAAAGGAAAGAAGAAAAAAAATCGCATCAAAGGTGCTGCTTCGTTTACTAAGTGAAGGTGTAGAAATTAGGTTTTTTCATCAAAAGCACCAAAAGTTCACTGTTGAAAAAGTTAGAGGACAATTTGAAATGAATAATGACAGCGTACGCAGCGCCCTCTACATGTTTCATGAAAATTAATACGAAATTATGATTTCCCACGTCAAAACACCCCGGGTACCGAATTTCGCACAAATAACAGAATTTTTGCAAAAGTTATTTTTTTAAAAACGAACAAAAAATGGATTATATCACCTCCAAAACAAAGCATTTCCGGAGACAAGTTTATATATACTTTTTTCTCAAAATTGTCCCAGAAATACGCCACTTGAATATTTTAACGTACTTATGTTACACCCTGTATATTAACACTGCCCTGTTTGTACATATATCAATGTCTAATATTCACCATATATCTTCCATTGTCATTCACCGCAATTTGCATGGTTGTGTTACAACATACAAGGATCATATTTACATTGATTTCCATCGCTTGACACAAACAGGTGACAACTACAGTGCTCCAAAAATATAATACGGAATATTACTGAAGTTCTATCCCAACACCAAACCATTACTTTCAACACCTCGACACGTTTTTCAATCACCAAGTGATCATCTTCAAGAGTTTAATATTCCTTTCAACATCTCATTAACCTATTCTTTTGGCATCTATTCCCATAGAAGTTCTTGGTGTAAGTTTCAGATTATCACATAAATATTCCTCAGTAGTTATAAAATGTTCGCGATCTTTGGATAGACGAGACATTGCGTCACTGCCCGAACACTGGCATTTTTATTAGTTGAACCTGTCTGAATAGCTAAATACTTCTTTTTACTTTTAATGCAGATACTTTATATTTGTTTCTCTTCATCCTAGTTTTGATGTAGCAGATTTCAACAAAAATAAACAACAGAAGTTGTCATCAGAACTATGTCTTAGAAATGAAAGAAATGAAGGAATTTGATAACCCCTTTTCGAGAGAACGTTTGGGAAACCAAAATATCATATGAGTAAACCTATTTCACAATCTTCTAACTTTGATTTTGGGGTTGCTTTAGTTTTGTGACCTTCGTTCTTTCCGACGCCAGTGAAAAAATCTAAGAGGGTCTTTCAGATCTTGGAGGCCCACATCATCTGTGATTAACCCGAATGAATATTCACCTGGACCAATTTTCACATCGATTTTGAAAGTACTCTTGTTATTAGGGCATACAATTTGGGATTGAATTACAACAACAAATCCACATAAGAATTTACAAAGAATCAATTTTGGGCACTTTACAAACATTAATATCTAGCAATTAAAGTCCCAGTAAAATAATCAAGCTTTGCAGAAACTTGCCGTTGCAAAAAGTTGCAAAACTCAAATGGTCTTCGTATTTTATTTCAAGAACTTCCAAACTATATGATTTGAAAGACGTCTTTTGTTGAAATTTATTCATCTCCGCTCACATGAAACTATTTAGAAATAGAAAGAAACATATGTTTAAAATCGAAAAAGTTATACCTACCTGTTTAGATATGCGCAAATGGGAATCATATCCAAATATAGAGTAGGTACTTGTGATGCACTGTTTGGAACCTTTGGTGTAGTAATGAATATTACTGGAGTTTTTTCCCAACACCAAACCATTATTTTAACACCTCGACACGTGTTTGGATCACCAAGTGAACATGTTCAAGAGGAAGAGGAAGGATGATCAGTCTGATCTTCCTCATGAAGAAAATCACTTGGTGATAGAAACACGTGTGAAGATTATCACTTAGTGATCAAAACACATGTCGAGGTGTTGAAATAACGGTTTGGTGTTGGGAAAAAACTTCAGTAATATTCATACAGTAGGTAGATAATTCGTATATTTAACATCCTGCCTATAACAACAGCTCCATCTAAACACAGTTTCCGTAAACTAAAGTGAGAATATAAAAACTCAGGTCAAAATCTTCTTTTCATATAGAATGAAAATCCAACACTTTAACACATAATTTATCAATATACAATTTATTTTTGAAATCGAGTATTTCTAGTATATGCACTAATGATATTCCTTTGTATGAAATTGGTGATACACTACGATAATTTTTTAATAAAATTCATTGTGGTTTATGACAAAAATATCAATTTTTGTACATCAGGAACTTTTCTAATTTTGGCACCCGTCAATTATCGAAATGGCTTTAACAAAATTTATGTTACGTTCCACAGAAGTACAACATCTGTGTACCTATAATGGTTTTTTTGTCACATGTATTTAATTACACTGCACCAGATATGAATACTAACTGTGGATTTCATGAAAATATGATACTATTCTCTGCTGACTGACATAATGTCGGTTGTAATTGATATTGAAAATACTTTTGGAATTTTGAAATCATCAGTTTTGCGTTTCATTCTCAAAAAAAGTATGTTTGTTTCTCCAATTTGAATAGTAATTAGTAGGCTGATTGAATTCAAATCAAATAAGAAAGATAATCTGCATAAGAAATCAAGAAAAAACACAAATATTTTTATTTATTTCTTATGCGGATTTTATACCCACTAATCATTCTCGTTCAGTTGGTAGCTTT